TTAGATAGTACAAATAGAAATATTTTAATTAATGTTTAAACAAACTTATTGATTCAATATTTTTAATAAATGAAATATATAATTTTTTATTAGTTAAACATTGCATTATCAGTTAAAAATCTCATTTTTACATTTCCAGCGTAACAATTATGACCTGACATATCACAAAATCCTTTCATAGTCTATTCAATATATAATTCAGTTCGAGAGTTACAATTCATTTCGTCTACTAATTTAACCCAACCAAGTTGACCGTTACCATAATCTCATTCTCCCCATATAGCATCATTAAAAATATTTGTTAATATATTATATGAATTGTCTCCACTAAAATAACATTGATAAAAATTACTACATGGAGAATATCGTGTAAGATATTTACCAAATATTCCTACAAAAGCATTTTCACTACAATGTAAAGAAAAAACTTGATTTCCAACAGTACGATGATGCTTTTTTAGACACTTCTGAATTTCCCAGACCATAACTTTTTTAACATGATCAAGCTCATAGTTAGGTAATGGTAATATATGAGAAGGTAGTATATTATGTTCTTTGTGTTTTATTGTTTCATGATGTTGAAGACTACGTTGAGTTTTATAAGATCGTGAATGCGTACAAAGAGTGCAAGTAAATCTTGAAGTACTAATAGAATTAGATATAACTAAATATTTTAAATAGTTAATATATATAAAAAAACGTATATAACTATAAATTCTAGCATACTATATACCTATTAAAAAAAAATGATGAGTTGGGACTTTGAATGATGGGTTCCAGCGTGTTTGCTTATATTTTTAATAGTAAATAAATATTTTTAAAGTTCTATCTAAATGATTTTCATGCTCACATGATATTAAAATGGGGTATGTTTTAAAAATATACTAATAAATTTTGGGGTACTATAGTATAATTTTTTAACCCTAAAAACTGATCAGGCCGATATGTGATATCCCTTAGAGAAATTTCAGCCAGTGCGGCAGGTCACTTGTAAGTGCTCTCGAAGTAACTGCGGGATGTCAGGCCTAGATATTAAGCTCAACATTGTATCAACCTGTAATGCAATAATTTTAATAAAGATCACTGGCAAGACTGCCAAAGATAGAAAAAAAAATATATATATATATATATAAGCTTTTTTTTGAAATTATACTAAAATATATATAATTTAACATTTTTTAACAGTAAATAGATCAATAGTTATTCACTGCTAAAAAATGTCAAATTATATATATTTTAGTATAATTCCAAAAAGAAGCTCATATGATCTTTTATATTTAGCTCTTTATAATTTTTTAAAAAGTGTCCACAATAATATAGTAGGCTACTGTATATATGAAACCAGTTTGTTTAACTTGTATTATCTGTTTGTATTATATTATTATAATATAAAAGATACTATTATTGACTAGATGATATTCAGAACAACTCTATAAGCTAATTATCAAAAAGATCAAGTTTTATTTTAATTATTTAACTCATCTCCTGATCTTGTAAGTTAAGCAAATTTATTGATCATATTTTGTATATCTTTTTGATATTTTGTAAGAGGTGTTTTAAAACTATAAATAATTTATACATACTGTTACAAGTGGACTGTAACCTTTTTAATATAGCACAAGTAACAAAGTACACAGCTATAGAGCTCTGTTGTGAGATTATAATAGTGTGAAAGTGGAATGTAACTTCACTAATTGCAGTTCATAGAAAGTATATAGTTTAAAGAAAGATATATTTTATTTATAATATAAGACTTTAATTACAAGAGATAAT